CACCACCGCCCCAACCGTCGCCCCAGCCTCCTCCGTATCTGCAAGTAAATCAAAACCCTCCCTCAACCGTAGATCTACAAGGAGATGATATCGAATCACCGCACGTAGATCTAATCGGAAAGAAGAAGAATAAGAAAAAGGAGGGGAAGGGAGAGAGAAAATGATGGCCAGATCTGGCCGAGAAAGGAAATGAGAGAAAGAAGAAAAAGAGGCGGGGAGTGAGAGTGGCGTATTTTTGCTGAGAAAAGAAAGAGAGAAAGAAGGAAAAGGAGAGTAAGAAGAAATGAAGAAGAAGATAATTGGGAGAAGAAAAATAGAAGGGGGGAGAAGAAAAAGAAAAAGGAAGAAAGAAAGGAACAGGAGAAGGGGTATTTTAGGAAGAGTGAGTATGAAAACGTAGAATGAGAACTTAATTTCCGGACGGAGAAAAACGTAGAGTGTGAACTTTAATTTTGGACGGAGGGAGTATATTTTTGGTGTAAGATGGTCCTTACACCTAAAAAGAGAGGTAATCAAGTGGCCAGGCTGGCCTCAGGTCCTCAGTCGCCTGGCGACCCGGCGTCTTTTCCTAAAGCCTACTCCGTATCTTGTTTCCACCCTACAGACACGACTAATAATTGCTCTATCCCCACATTGATTCCCATTTCCCAAATGGCAGCGCTCTTCTTCTGTCTCTCCCAAATTCTTTCCCTTTGCTTTTGTTCTTATCTCGCATTCTCGCCTATCTTCCTCTCAAGAGTCAACTCAACCTTTAAAATCCTTCTGAAACTTATTCAGATCTCTCTACCTATTTATAGATCCGTATCTCTGGGCTCATTCAATATACATGATGAGTGAAGACCGGAGTGGACCTTTCCATTTTCCTCCAAACATGAAACATAATCGCAATATACTGATTCTCCCGAGGTTTTTACACGTTGTTTGTTCTAAACTTTAGCAAAAATCCGTTCTTTTCAAATATATATATATATATATATATATATATATATATATATATATATATATATATATATATATATATATATATATATATCCATTGGGCAGCGTTTGGGTCTTCAGCAAACACCATGAAGCGGAAAATGCGCCCAGTTTTCAGCGCAATTGTGTTCTTAGCACTGGGTATGACGCTTATTGTCCGTGTTTTCCTCAGATACTGCTCAATTGAGGCAAGAATTGAAAACCCTTTTGCGAAAATGGCCCAAAAAGTGGTCTTCAATGAGACCCTTATCAAGTACGCACGCCTAGACATTGGGGAGCCTCAGTTGAGGAAGGAGGTTGAGGAGCTGTTAGAAGGTAAATTCCGAACTCTTGGCCGTCATAGATCTTTCCTGTCTTCTGGGAGACATCGTATTGATCTTAGAATCAGGTCATCTAATGGTATGCCACTGCAGCTCCGGTCCCCTGAGTTTGACATCCTATGGTCTGGTTTTCGGAGGTCTTTGCGTGATTGGTTCCGTAATAGGAGGTTTCAGACAAGCTCCATGATTGACTTTTTCTATGAAGTGAAGGCTTTAATTGATAAGCATAACGGGAAAACAGAGAAGAGGAACAAGAAGAGGAGGTACAGTTCATGTGCTGTGGTGGGGAATAGTGGGATTCTATTGAATAGTGAGCAAGGGAAGTTGATCGATGGCCATGAGGTTGTGATCCGTTTAAACAATGCCAAGATCGAAGGGTATGAGCGAAATGTGGGCTCGAAAACAAGCATTTCGTTTGTGAATAGCAACATATTGCATCTGTGTGCCAGAAGGGAAGGGTGTTTTTGTCATCCTTATGGCCCAAATGTGACGATCATTATGTACATTTGTCAGCCAGTCCATTTCTTCGACTACATGTTGTGCAATTCGTCTTTCAAGGCACCTTTGATTGTCACCGACCCACAATTTGATTTGTTGTGTTCTATGATTGTAAAGTACTATTCTTTGAAACGGTTTGTGGAGGTTTCGGGGAAGAATGTGGATGAATGGGGGGCTTCACATGGTGGGGTTAATTTCCATTACTCTTCGGGTATGCAGGCTGTTATGCTGTCTTTGGGAATGTGTGAGGAAGTTAGCATTTTCGGGTTTGGGAAATCGGCCTCAGCCAAGCATCATTACCACACTAATCAGAAGGCTGAGCTCAAGCTGCATGACTATGAGGCAGAGTATGATTTGTATGGGGATTTGGTGGAGAGGCCTCAGCTAGTTCCCTTCCTTCCCGATAAGTTCACGGTCCCACGTGTTTCTATATACCGATGATCGCAAGGTAATGGGAGAGATTTTCTGTCTAAAGACTTTAAATCACTTTAATTCATCAATGCCCTGAATTTATCCAACCTCTGATGAGGTGCAAGCCAAGTGTAGAATGTAATGTCAATTGCTGAATTGTACCCTTTTTTTAGTACTTCCAAGTTCTCAAATAGATAGTGTTTTGCTGGAGGTCATCACTTGTAATTCTACTGTTGTCCTTGACATCATGATATGGGAAATGAGTTTTCTAGGAAGTTGAGTAATTATGGAGTGCTTTTATTTTTTGTAAAGCTCAATTATCATTTATACCTTCATGTTTTTGGTATGGAAAAAGTTAGGGTACCCTGCAAGTTGTAGTACAAAGTTTGGGGCATCCTAGCACACCCATTTTGGGTATTGTTTATTTTTTGGACAACCGAGGCACTGACAATAATATGCAGGCAGCAACATGTTGAAAAGCATGATGCTTGAGCTTTTGTCCACTATGGTTATTGGAAGCATTGTTGGGGGGGGGGGGGGGGGG